GTCAAGGGACTGATTTCACTTGTGTCTGACGAGTTGTAGTTTGGTGCTGAGAGTGGCAAGACTCGGTGACGATGCCGGCGAAACGTCCGGGAATGTACTAAGTCCACGGTCCGACTCAGGAAATCATCCTGTACACTATGGACTCCGGACAAGGTGCTTTCCTCCAGTATTTTAATTGTTCAATTAACTACGCGCAAACACAAGCTCGTATATCTGCATAATAAACTAGCTCATTGCCTTTATTCTACCAAATTTACTAGGTTAAAGTCACATCATTCCTTATTTGTACTTAAAAGAGGTTATTTTGACCTGACTTCTAAGTAAGCGTTCTAAAATTCTTTATAAACTACATTCGGTAGCTTTAGTTTTACATTTGGCATATGCTGTCTATCCTTATCAGTTCTTATTGACTATTCCGAGACGACTCGGATCTCCAATTCCAAATAATTATGCCTCTGAATTTGCTTACTTTTATTTGAACTGATTCGATTTCTTCGTCAACCTAGTGTGTCTAGTGATTACAACGCTTTCCTCCATTCGGCTCATTTGTCTTTACCTTAATCCCCAATAGTTGAGTTCGACCTGGCTACGGAAAAAAAGTGACTTGCATGTAGGTGAATTTGCCATGAAGAATTAAAGAGAACGTTTGATTTTAGATGTGGACCCACTATACATTATGGACCGAAGATATTTTAATTCAATGTTGCTCTAATATTTCTGCTTTAATTATGCCTTGTTAGCATTCCAAGGTGATTTGAAGTTCTTAACTAGACCACTAAATAATAAATGAGCCCCCTCAAAACAAGGATACAGAAGCATATCTTAGTTAAATGTAAGAAATATATGAGGAAAATTGCTAGGCATCACTTTTTGACATCATATTTGCATATATGAATTCCTCGTGAACTCATTACCTAGTATCCTTTTGAACCTTCAGTAGCAAATATTAACTGTACCTAATTCATTACTTAATTTTTAGGTGAACTGGTGAAATTTCGAATATACCCTGCACATCAAGCACTTTGGCTAGTAAAACAACTTTTACCGAAATTTGTGCATCATCATATCGAAATGGCTTGTGCTCTACTTGATACATGCGGCCGCTTCCTCTATCGCCTGCCTAGTTCGCATCGGCGCACAAAAGTTTATCTGGAGGTGATGTTGCGCAAGAAAACGGCTCTCCATATGGATCAACGGTACGCCACTATGATTGAAAACGCTTACTACTATTGCAACCCTCCGGAGGCACAGAAGCAGGTGAGATTTTTTTAGTATCGCTCTAATTAGACTTCTATTGATACCAACTTCATTAATGAGACTAATATGGCGCTAACGAATGTTTAAATATCTTTCAAGCTTCTAAGATTTAATTCACCTTCACCGTACTCATCCAAGCTTTGGTAACGTTAACAATAAAGGAAATAGCTTTTTTTTCTTATTTCATAACTTATTTTATCTTCTTTCGGCATTAAGAGGCCCTTATTAAGTCGATTAACGCTATAAACTCTGAATATAGGCATATATTCCTCCTTCCTCTATTTTTATTTTTCCTCGTTTATATCTTTGTCTATGTAGTGTTGGTCCGACCATGTTTTCATAACTTGGTCGGAGCATCAGGGAGACCTTGTGGAACGTACATAGTCCCATGTCCTCTGACATTTTTCGCGATTTCCAGTATTGGACCATTGGCTGGGTACATTCACAGACGTTTCGCCGGCATCGTAGTCGGCATCGTCAATGAGGGACACCATCGTAAACACAGAGTTACAACGTATCAAAGTGACAAGTGAAGGCTATTCCCTTGACCAATTTTCTGTTCAACCGTTGTGGCATCACACCTCGCTCATATTTTTTGTTCTACCTTCTAGTGTCGCATCTATTTCTCTCAACCTAACTTCATATGGCCCATCCACTTATTCACACAATTATGTGCTCTTGTTTTCTCCAATATCGCCTAAGAGCGTGTGGCTACAAGTGGGTTTAGGGAAGGGTAATCATCTCCACGACCAGTACCAGATGCCGTTTGCGGGGCTTCTGCCCTAAATTCTGCCCCCTTTTTTCTACCCGCTTGTGAATTGGCCTCTGCTAAACATTAAAATCACTGGCTGAAATCTGGCTGCCTAAGAGCCCTCTATTCCCGTCATTGATTACGCCATATCCGAGGATTTAGAGTAGATGATGCTCATGTTCATGGCCATGACCATACCAGTGCTGGGAATCTTCCTCCCTCTACTCTTCAAACCTGTGACTCAATTATCCTCTTCCTCATTCCTACCTACATTGTTTCTCATTCTTTGGGGCCCTGTGTCCGGCTTAAGTCATAACCGCTGGTGTGAGAATGCACCACTTCCCTTTTTCCCTTGAATCGCCAAAAACACATTCCTCTTGTCTTTCAAGTTGACATTCCCATCTAACCCTAGGGTACTCGGATGATATCCCTGTGTGTATGTTGGTTGGTATCCTACGTGGTCAAGCCTGTCGTCAGTCACCTCCCCTTCCGACATCTATCTAGCCTAGCTATACCCATAGCCGTTAATTGCATAGCCTACTTCTCACAGGTAAATCCCTTAGGTAAATTGTTTGCCAATTCCATGTCCGACTACTCTCAATGCAGTTGCCTTTTCTTGACCTCCTTTTATTCCTCATGATGTCTCTTCCTGTTTATAGAAGTGGGTTGACCTCGTTGTCGCAACTTGGTCTTGTTGTCAGGGCGACTTAGTAGAACGCACCTAGTCATGCCATAGTAGTTATCATGATTCCCAGCATTAGATAGTGGAATTGGCACATTCTCAAACGTCTGATGCTGGGAATCATGACAAAAAATATGGCAGACGACTTCGGACTAGGTTCGTTCTACTAGGTCCCCCTGACAACAAGACCAAGTTACGACAACGAGGTCAACCAACTTCTATAAATCGAAAGGAGACTGCGACCATACCCGAGGCCACAACATCTTCGTCTTCATATCTTCTCTTCCTGTTGTTGAACAGTTGTCCTGTGTCCAAGCCTCTTCTTCTTGATGTCTTCGTTGAATCTCCAAGTCTGCTTAGGTAGTGCGCGAAATTATGGCTGACTCTTCCCTCTTCCAATCTCCTGTTTATCAAGCTTCTTTGAAAGAGAACATACACAGCCTCCCTGATCTTCCTTTTTTTGGTGTTTTTCCCATATGAGGCCAGTCTTTCCTTTGTCAGTAGGGGCGATGTGTTCAGCTATCTCCGACTTTTCCGTATCCATTTTTTTGCATAGTCGCTAGTGCTTTTTGATCCTTGTGCTGATTGCCCTTCCAGTCTCCCCGGCGTATTTTTCTTTACAGTCTTGAAGTGTATACTGTGAATTCCGGAGCATTCCCTTTTGTTGATTTCTTCATGTTGGTTAGATAAGCTGGTGAAGAGGGTTGTCCTTTCCTTCAAAATTGTACGAATTTTCCATTTCCTTAATATTGGCCGTAGCTTTCGAGCCAATTCGCAGGAGGGTAGACATATTCATAATTATTCTTCTGCTCCTCTTGCTTTCCTTTCATAATCTCCATCCTTCCACCTGTTCATCACCATCCGTATGTTGCGTTTTATTGTTTCTTCTGGATATCCGTTTATAAGAGGAATCTGAGTTAGTTTTCCCAGTTTTTCTTCCAAGAACTCAGAATCAGTGAGTCGTAAGCTTCTTATGATCATACTCCGGAGTATTTCCATCTTCATTCATTGTGAGTTATTCTAGTATGCGATTTTTTTCTTAAGAGTTTCCTCAGAGCGAATGACCTCCACATCCAAGAATATTAAGTGTCCGTTCTCTTCCACATACATGGTAAATTTGATTTTATCATCCATTTCGCTTATGAAGATAAGGAAATCGTCTAATTTTTTTTCATGCGACCAAATTGCGAAGTAGTCATCCAAATATTTCATAATTACTGTTGGCTGCTGGGGTGACATTTTGAAATTCTTTCCCAACTTGCCCATGAATACATTAGCCAATAGGGTTGAGAGTGGTGAGCCCATAGGTAGACCAAATATTTGCTCATAGATGCGGCCATTGAACGTGAAATAGGTCGTTCTTATTGTTAGGTTGATTAATCGGATTAGGTACTACGCTTTCGTTCTGTCCCAATGACGTCATCAAAAGTTCGTTTCTTTCCAACCTTGGGCCTTTGATTCTTTGGCAAAATTCATGAGTTCTTCATTGTATTCGGTAATATGTCATTTACTTTCATTAATTTGAGGCAGATATATTTCGCCAATCTCTCTGTTGGTCTATGTTGTTGATTATCGGTCTCAATGGTTCTCCTTTGTATATTTTCGGCAAGCCATATACTATTAGTGCTCTTGCATCTTTTCGTATAAGTGAATTAATTGTCCGTTTGTAGATTTCCTCGTTATTCATTTTTATCAGCATTTGTTGCAGTGCCCCTTTGATCTTAACTATTGGGTCTTTTGTTAACAGTCGATACGTTGTAGTGTCCCAGATAATATTTTCCATTTTCTCTGTATATTCCTTCCTGTCCATCACCACTGCGTCATCTTTATCTGCTTTTAGGACTGTTTGTTCGTTTCTTTTCAATTATTTATATATCTTGGTTATGTTGTCTATATACATGTGTTCTTGATGCACCATTATTATTGAGACAATTTGTATTTCCAGCTCTTTTTGATTTTTCAGTTAATTTTAAGAGGTATTTATCACCCCTATTAAAATGTCCTTGATCGTCTTCCTTTCATTCCGAAGTGCAAAATGTAGTCCTTTCCTGAGGCTCTCCGTGGTTTTCAGGTCAAGCGGGACGTAAGACAGATTCACTACTTTATCCTCATTTCTTGTCTGGACTTTGAGACACGTCAGCCTAGAATCATCTTCAGTTTTTCCAGATGGTTGGACCTTGGGTTGCCTATAGATCCTATCTTTATTCAGCTTCTGGTGCCTTTTTAGATTAAGTCCAATATTATTTTCGCCATTTTGTCTGTCATCTGTAGTTTCAGGGAATCTTCCGTGGTAATTATCTGATTCAAGTCATGTCTGAGTCTAGATTTAATCCCTAAAAATTTAAATAATTTTACCCTCTCCCTTATATATGCCTCCTCTAATTTTTTCAAAAAAGTTTGATATAATATAGAAGTGACTTTATCGGAATGATTATTTCTTATCAAATTGCAAAATCTAGGATAGATGCCATAACGTTTGCAACAGTTAGGAAAGGTAAAATGACAAGATTGACTTGCGATTGTTTTCTTTGATATGCTGTAATTAGTGAACTGACTGGCAATCTTACCACCGTAATTAGATCGTAGATATGAATACCAAGATGGTGTGGCCTTTATAGTGTTGGTTCAACCTAGTTTTCGCAACTTAGTCGGAGCGTCAAGGAGACTTTGTGGAACCCATCTAATCCCGTGTCCTCATCCATAGTATTCGTGATTTCCAACATTTGACCAATGGATTGGTACATTTGCAAACGTTTCGCCGGCATTATTAGTGAGATGCGCCATTGTGAGCACAGAGTTACAGTTTATTAAAGTGACAAGTGATAAGTTGTAACTCTGTGTTTACGATGGCGCCTCTCACTGACTACTCGAAGCGTTATTTCCCAAAGTGTCTCGCCTTTTATGACACGCATACTCATGCCTTGCTGAGTATGCGTTCTATCAAAGGCCTGAGACAATGTGGAAAATGAAGCTTCGATTAGTACAGATAGGGTGGCAGCGGTCAAGTAAAATATATGAACCAGGAAGATAGGAGGCGGAACCTAAGGTGAAAGAGAGAGACTGATAAGACCAAATGGGAAAAGGATTGCGGGGTGAGGGAGTGAGAAAACCAATGTATGGTGTGGAGAATTCTCATTTAATATGCTAAAAAAGAGCACCATACCACAGATAAATAAGAAATTGTGATAGTGAAAGGGTGATACGAGGATATTGGATTGGTGAATAGCCCGAGACAGAATGAGAGATACCACAATTGTTTAGCAAACAATTGGCCAAAGGATCGGCTTCACTTTTCTCTTTGACAAGTCGTGGTGTGGTGTTAAGAATGGCAAGGCTCACTAACGATGCCGGCGAAACGTCTGGTAATGTACCACGTCCACGGTCCGACTTTGGAAAATATCGTGCATACTATGGACTCCGGACTAGGTGCGTTCCTCTAGGTCTTTCTACCAATATGACCAAGTTGAGAAACCAAGGTTAAATAACTATGCAACGAAAAGAGACTGCGATCATACAAAAGGCCACCATCTTGGTCTTCATAGCTTCGGTCCCATATATGCTTCATTTTTTCTTAAAGGCTGA